AACCTTGCGTAACAACTGCACCGGTCGCTTGATACCTTACCTTGAACTTATACTTACAACCTGCGCCTTGGCGACAATGGTAACGATTGTTTTAGCGCATTTTCTCATTTACGGAAAAAAGCGCTTTTGTGCTCGTCATGTCCGTCCGTCCGTTACGTCCTTCCGTGACGGACGGACGGACGTGAGAAAAAGCGCTCTCTGTCACTCACTGCAGTGAGTACTGATCTAATTTTTGGGGGTATGCTATTGATCATTGCAATCGGCTACCTGCATGTTTAATCAAGGAATCTCCCATAGGCTGGAAAGTAAAAAAATTCAATCCAGATCGTAAAGCCAAGATTTCATATTATTTTTGTTAGTCGAAGCTTTACAAATTGTCTAAGATTTTGTGATAGCTTTTTAATTGTATTAATTTGACATCAGAAAGGATTGGAATTCAAGAAATGGAAACATAGTGTATTGTGTCCGTTTAAGATCATTTACGCGAGATTGAAGTTCTTTTAATTTTTTTCTTAAAAGTTTGAACTGATGTCTTATTTGGAGTCAGTAAATTGGTCATCGTAGCGAGGAAAAATTTAAAGTATTTAATTGAAAGCTTTAAAAAAATTTCAAATTTTCAAATTTTCGTTTATTTTCATACAATACAAGATTCGTATTTAAAAAAACAGTTTCATTTCACAAAAAAGAAAAAATTAAGTGTTCCTCAAACTTTCTCTCAAACAAAAATATTTTAAATTTTTGAAACTGCGAAGGGCTTTGGACAAACGCAGAGAAGGCCCATTTGCTGTCCCTATTACAGCATGGCTCCACATTATGAAAAAGTGCATTAAAAAAGATTTAAATTTATAAACTTTAAGCGCAGGACGTAGAACTTTAAGCGTAAAAGTTTGTGATCCTTCCTGCCTGAAAGTTAGCGGCGACAGAAGTAATAATCCGTTTATTTTGAATCGCATTTTAAGTGATTCTTTTTATCTTGACTCGGGAGCAGAGCCTGCAAGAAGTTCTGCCATGACTGAAGTTAGGCCACGCTACTCATGACCCTAGATATGCTAGAGGCTCCTGATGGCGGGATGCTACTAAATCTATAGAGAGGCTTGAGGCTCTAGATTCCGTGATGCTACTAAATCTATAGAGAGGCTAGAGGCTCTAGATTCCGTGATGCTACTAACTCTATAGAGAGGCTAGAGGCTCTAGATTCCGTGATGCTACTAAATCTATAGAGAGGCTAGAGGCTCTAGATTCCCTGATGCTACTAAATCTATAGAGAGGCTAGAGGCTCTATATTCCGTGATGCTACTAACTCCATATAGAGGCTAGAGGCTCTATATGCTCTGATGCTAGGGACCGTATAGAGAGGCTAGATGATCTGATGCTAGGGACCATATAGAGAGGCTAGAGGCTCTAGATGGCGTGATGCTACTACCTATGTAGAGGCTAGAGGCTCTATGCTGTAATGCTAGGGACAGTATAGAGATGCTAGAGGTTCTAGATGCTGTGATGGACGTCGGGAAACCAAAACGTTTAGATTGCAAGTCGGCAGCCTTCGTCGTGAAGACCTGGATGTCCCGGCTCTAGAAATCCACGATGGGACAAGCATGCATGAATCTGGTTAATCACAGGACATAAATTTATGTGTTAAAATGTGTTAGAAGTGTGCCGTGATTTATCCGATGGCTTCGATAATTGTATTCCATCATTCTGTTCTAGGAGGTCAAAGTTAAAGCTTGCTGTGAGATCTCAGTGACAGAGATTGTTTTAAATTGAAAGGTTTCATAAACGTTCTAACCACTAATTATTGAGATAAGACCAGCTGTGAATATTACTCAATCGAGATTATTTACTAACTATTTAATTAGTCTGACCCGCTCTGGTCATCACACATAGTTATGGTCGAGCCAGCGGGCGAGCACTACAAACTCTTGTGGAATTAATGAAGCTTAATAATGGCACCAAATGACTGACCAGCCTACATAACTTGCCGTTCGTCGACTGATAGCAGGCCGTCGATTTTCTTCTGTAAATTCTGATAGGGTGTCATGGCCTCACCGATCTTCCAAACGTGCGCAGTTACTGAGGCTCTGACATAAATGAATAAACTTTCAAGGTATTCACAGCGCCATTGAGCAGCAATGTAATTGCAGTTCAAACTATGTACCGTTCACCCACGCCATAATTTAGGTGTAATGGAGTAAGAAGAGATGCAATTGCAGAATTTGATCAAGTCCCATTAATCCAAAACTTTTAAATTAATTTATTCTCATTAATTACGCATTTTGAACAGAAATTATTTTTTTAGAATCCAGAAGGCGGTGCGTAAAGAATGCCGAGAATTTTCGTGCCACTCATTACAATAAATACGTAATTATTTTATGCGATGACGACCACGAATTCAACGGCCACGAATTCACCGGCCACGTATTCACCGGGAGAAACGCATTCTGCAGATCATTTGTCAGAATGCAGAGTAATTGGCGCATCGGTGTGTAGCTAATATTAAACACACCGACAAGGTGAATGAATATTCTTGACAAGACACTAACAACACGAAATAATATTCGGTTATCGCGATACGTTTCATCCAACGCCAGGATGAATTTTACCATTGCGAAGAATTATTCTTTTTTCCTAACTGATATCCTTCTTAAAGCTGACGTGAATGAAATTAATTAAACCTCATAAACAATTATTTTTTATGAGTAAATAAGCATAGGAATAAAGTAAAGCACCGGGAGGACCGTAGCCTCCGGCGAGCGCTGTTATTCACAGACGACTACTTCGCCACACACAGAGAAATGAGTGAGGCATTGTCCAAGTAGCGATGCAAGTTTAATCCTTGTGTGGGTAATCCTGACTCGGTTTGGCTAAGAAAAAACTGAGTATCATTGCTACGTGCAGTAAGTGCGTAATTATTTGGACAATATGTGTCAGTAATTTTTGTAAACGCAACATAGTCGCCATATTTCAGTCTCTTTTGCTGTCCAATTCCCCGCCCCGAGGGAACAGCTTCCCCGAGCTGCTCTTCGCCTACCCAATGGTTGGCGCACGCAGAGTAATGAATGGGCCAAATTGTCCGAATAGACGCATTTCCACACAGCAGAGAGCGGACGTAGCACTGAGACGTCCTTCTGTCTTGTCAAAATGGGTCAGGATGACCCATAATAGAACAAAAAGTGCTTCCTTATTTAGACCAAGTCTTACTCATTTTTCTGTGAGAGACCTCGGCCCAAAAGAGAAAAAAAGAACGTAATTTATAGGCAAAGAAATTGCCCAACCACCGCAAGTCCGTCGGATGTAAGTTTACTTGCCAGTAAAGAACTCCCAAAAAACCACAGTGTACCTGGGTTAGGAAAATAAAGAATTTCTTCTCACAAGTTTGAATTTCATGTAGTAAGTTAAATATCGGACCCGCGTTGTGCGGGACACGCAATTGACATCTCGCGCCCACTAAAAGAATGGCTGATCTTCTCTGCCCAGGTACACTCAGGCAAATGATTGGGACTTTTTGGAAATAGTGAGGTAATTTTTGCGCTTGTGTATGTCATTCTGACGGGAGTGTCATCAAAAGCGGTATCAGTGCTACGTTCACTCTCTACTCGTGCTGCGGGTAAGGAAGTGGATAAGTATAAAGGCATTATGAGCCATTCATATTTGTTTACTGGCGGATCAGAAATCTTTGGCCAGCAACACTGCCAGTCATTTGAGATTGTTGGTTTTGTTCTAATTTAATTTTGGACGAATCGTTCGCGTAAAAAAATATGATTTTGCTTCTTTCACAGAAATTTCTCTTCATATGACATCATTTTGATAACTAAAATCCTTATTCTGAATATGTTCTTACTTCTTATATGTACAGACTGGGGTCAATGTCTCTGCAGCGTTTGTAAACGTTCCAAAACGTTTAATTTCTTTATTAAAATCACGAAAATTTCTATACGGTTAATATACTTCATACACATATTATGACCATATATATGTAATACTAATTATAATTTGCCTAGTTACGTAAAACCACGCAAAGGCAAATAAGTGATCTGGCAAGGAAATTAATTATTTAAGACTATTTTGTTGCAGATAAGTCGTATCACCATCGCAGTAATTAAACACGACATGTCAGTGGCGACCGTCAGTTTTCATTTGGAGTTCGATGAGCAGAAGAGAGTGAGACCATATCTGAGTACTTATTTTTTCAGGTTCCTTAACATAAAAACTCGCATATACGTTAAATCTACGTAAACGGCAGGCAAACTTCGTTTCTAACGTTTTTTAGCGCATTTTCTCATTTATGGAAAAAATGCGCTATTGTGCTTGTCATGTCCGTCTGTCTATTCGTCTCTCTGTCCGTCCGTGACTTTACGTTTTCGTCGAAGAGAAAATGCGCTCTCTGTCACTCACTGCAGTGAGTACTGAGTTATATTTTTTGAGGTTGCCTGCTCACCCCATGGGATGTTTTGAAGAGGGAGGCGTGAAGGGATACTTCCTAGCCCCCCAGGAGATAATTTAAACAGGAGGTGTGAGGGGGTAACCCTCGCTCCCCCAGAGGATATTTTGAACAGGAGGCTTGAGAAGGGACTGCCTCTTCATCCCAGGGGAAGCGTAGAACAGGGGATGAGCGGGGTTTTAATCAGGGGACGCTGTCGTCGACGGCGGGTGTCGCAGTTTATGGCGATTGCGGCGCAGGGCTGCGAGGCGGTCACTGGTGCTGGAGGGCGGCGGGGATATTGAGGGATTCTACCAACACCTGGCCTCTACCTGGGCTGAAGGCCTCCAATGTTATCTAACGTGGCCTCTACCTGGGCTGAGGGCCTTCAATGTTATTGAACGTGTTCCTCTAATGTTACCTCACTTGGCATTTACCTCTGCCTCTAATGTTACCAATCTAATGTTACCATTTACTTGTGCTGAGGACCTCTAATGTTACCTATCTTGACCTCTACCTGTGCTGAGGGCCTTTAATGTTATCTAACGTGGTCTCTATCTGGGCTGAGTGCCTCCAATGTTACCTATCTTGGCATTTACCTGTGTTGAAGGCTTCACCTTATCTGGGTTCACGCAGACCCTCACTCGCTCAGTCATTGTAACACATTTTGACTGGGGAAGAATGAATAAATATATTTTCACTCTCTAGCCCACGCTAAATGACAAATTGCCTTAGATCTATGCACATGCTCTTTAGATACCCTGTTATGGAATTATTTGTCATTCATGCGTGCAATGATTATAGAACCACTCACACTTTAAGAGGCTTCCGAATCCTTTGTCACTTCGATGAATGTTACCTCGTCAACACATTTTTATTTAGTATGATGTTTTTATCATCATATGGAGCGCAGCTCAGTCAATAATTGCTGCACGAAGCTTATTGCAATATCTTCCGATGTTCTAAAAAACGTTTTTTTACTTCATTAAAAGTTCGCATTTGAACGACCTAAATTCTGTGGAAAAATATAACTTCATAAATTGAAAAAACTTCATTACTTATAGATTCTTGGCGAAAGTTCTTAGATGAAAATTGTTGGACTGAAGTCTTTAAGAAGCTCGGAAACTAACTCTTGAAAGGTTTACAACAAAAGTTTTGCTGATCATCTCGCTGCAATATCACCATTAGCGATTAAAAAAATCCGTCTCATATAACCTCTCCGCAGTGGCCGTGCTATACATTGTGCGAGTCATCGTCCGTTCTCTGCTGTTGCTCGTTGTCATGGAATTGCTGCTGATTGAATGTTTGTTTCGAAAAATCTGGTTGATCGGTAGGACAGTTTTTAATTCTTCTGTGAAGAAATTATGAAAAAAAAGAATCGGTGGCAGGCCAAGTTTGGCCGACACTACTAAACTATCGGTACTAATATGTATGATGGAAAAATCAGACTGCTGTTTGATATCTTGTTCAGTATATTCTGAACATTATCGTATTTTAGGGTAACGGAGAATAGTTGTGAGACGCACTGGAATACGACTGCGTGAGGCTGCGGAGATTCAACTTGACTGTACGAGTAAGAAGTTTTGTTCCATTCAGCGCCGCCGAGCATCTTAATATCAGTTCGGGACAAAGTTAGAGGCGTAATCGAGCTGCAAAAATGTTATTGTCTCCAGATAAGGAATGAAGTCATGTAGCCACTGAACCGCAGTTCCGCCGCTCCTCTAAACGACTTCTAAAAAAGGGCCTGGATCGACATCGGAGGCCTGATTTGGCTTGATATGGCCGTGGCTTCCTCGTGTCGTTCGGCGGCCACGACTTGAGTCGCAGTCGCTTTTTTTCTGGACGTTCAAATCTAATCAGAATTCTAGTCGTTTTGTGGACGCAGGAAATCATTGATGTTGAAATACGGAGCACTGATCGCGCCCTGACTTGTGATAACATCGAGGACGTTATAGGCTGCAACAGGCCGACCTCAATTAATTACCAGTGATGTGATGGTCGATTGTTTCGATTTACAATTATATTTTGACCAATTATATGTCCGTGTTGCTCATGTAGGAATGTTCTACACTCTTGTTCTGCATTCAGAAACTCTAAAGCCATTATTGTTCAAATATACAGCGACTGAATTTCGAGACACATGTCATCAAGGGAAACATTACCGCATAATTTCAAAGATTTACTCTCAGTTCACCGTCTGTCCCTTAAAGCGCTCAGCAGTGTTAGGACAATGTGAGTTTGCTGACATTTGCTATCTAATCTGAGAGCTAGACTGAGGTGCATGGAAATATTAATTTCCTACTAAAAGCAATGCGAGTTCTTACACTGGTCGTGAGCCAGGCATGGTGTATACAACTCACACGAGATTATTTATAATCTCGAGGGAGATTATAAATTATTATTTTTTTTCATTGTGATATTCATAACCATGATAATAAACTCTTGGGTGAGGGCCTCTTGATAAACCTAATAATATCCTGTTTATACAACCTGAGCGTCTTCATTGCATGAGATTTATCGACTTCCAAGTGATTTTTATTCGGTTTCTCTTATTACTTAGTCCCTTACAGTGAATAATGTCATCTGAAATGGGTTATTGGTTTGGTATTGATTTCAGTTTTGGTAAACTCTTCCCTATATATGTGATCAATAGGGATGCTTTAGTTTTGTGATTCTGGTTCATTTCTTTATTTGCGCTCTAATGACTGACATGATATTCTTGAATAAATCTCAGTTCAATCCAGTCGCGAGCTCACGTACGGAGTGCACAATTCATATTTAAGTCTTGGCCGGCGCATCGGTGGCCGCCGTTAAGCGTACTATGGCTGTCCATGTCGGCAGACCATGATTTTCACGAGCGGCACAAGTAGAGTGAACGCTGAGGGCATTTCTTTAGGGAAGCGCCCAGCGGAGCAGATATTGAATTCCGGCAAGTTATGACTCCTTGGGACAATGGAGAGTATTTGGTCAGCAAGAAACTAATAAAAAAGTTCGCACAATAGGAAACGGGCGGCCCTCAAGGCTAGGCTTGTTCAAAAATGACGAGAAGAAAGTTGTGAGTAACACATGATTGCTTCTATTGAAGGGTTGCAGCAGCCGGGCTCCTGATCCGTCGCTTCCAAAACATGAAAGATTTTTATGGCTATACCCACGCTTCCAATTATTACAGAAGAATGGATGAGGCTTCTGCCTTATTCGAATTTTGAGTTTATACAATTATTAGCCACGAAAATTTGCCTGTATATATCCATGGCCTTGGCCAAATTTTCTATTGCCTATATTAAAATCATCAATCAAGGACTTGAGCGGTGAGAGGTAATTTGTTAATTTGTTAATGGGAATTAATTGTTAATTTGTTAATGGGAATCAGATGTGCGCAACTATTAATGAATATATATAAATTCTAGGGATACTACTAATGAAAATGCTGAATCTCTTTGATGACTATTGAAATCAGACCACAAGCCAGTTTTTTTTCATTTTTGCCGCCTTTGTGAACTTATTTGCAAACGATCAGAGTTTGTTTTATTCCGAGATCGGTCATGGAAATTTTACTTTTCTTTCCCAGGCAGAAAGGAGTTAAAACAATATTCCAGTGTCATTGAGTACTCACGTGTAGCGCTAATTGTTTCAAACCTGTTCTATTTATTCCGAGGAAAACTAAGGCTGATTCTTCATTGTAGTTCGCAAAAGTTAAACGTCAATCGGGAAAAAGATACGTTTTATTCAGACGACGGTTCAGTCTAAGAGGACGGAAAAGTTCTGCCTAAGAACGGCGCACGTTCAGAGCGCACAAAAAGTTAGACTGAAGGCGTCTGTTCAGACATTGATCACCGGATGTCAGATAGATGCAGATTGCATCCCGACGAAGATTCGCTGCTTAATGACCTTTGAAAAAGCCGTCAGCTTTGGGCGAAACTTATTAGTTTGTGATGAGGTGTCAATCACGAACGACTTTTGGCGAAGACTCTAGATGTCGCTAGAGTTAAACTTGAACAACAGCGCACGGTAATCGATGGGTTAGGTTATTATGAACAAAGGGGTCATGATTGTGATTGGGTGATGATAACAAGTAAACAATTACGCAATGTAATTGTTTACTAGTTATCATCGAAATGATTTCAAATGGGATACGAAGAATACATATTGAATACATAGATGAAATTTTTTTGTCACCTTGTTATTTCATTGCCATGTTAACTTGAGATTACAGCTTGATTTTTACTGAAATGGAACTAATAAAATATTGAAATTATTGGTAAATGAATGCAATTAGGATACTCTTCATTAAAGAAAGTTTCAAATAGAAGAAGACATTCGATTCCCCGGCAATCGCAAGGTTCTCTTCACAGCGCCAAAAATGTTTAGCTTTGCCAATTCTCAAGCCAATTGTACCAATGGGCGACAAGTTTTTAAATGAAATTCCTGTTATAAGTAAAAAAAAACACGAGAAGTTCAGCAGAAGTTCTCGGCGAGTTCCACAAGCAGCACTTGCTTCTTCAGCGGAGAAACGCATGTTAAATTTCTCGATATACCAAAATTATAAAATTTCATAACTGAAATATCCAATATTAGGTTTTATCGGTTTTTATTGCATAGAACTTTTTAAATGCGGCCAACGTGAACCACTCGCAAGGCACCGAGTATGAGGCAAGAACGAGTTCCGTAGCTGAGGCAGGAACGAGTTCCGGAGCTGAGGCAGGAACGAGTTCCTGAGCTGAGGCAGGAACGAGTCCTGAGCTGAGGCAGGAACGAGTCCTGAGCTGAGGCAGGAACGAGTCCTGAGCTGAGGCAGGAACGAGTCCTGAGCTGAGGCTGGAACGAGTCGTGAGCTGAGGCAGGAACGAGTTCCTGAGCTGTAATACAGACGTCGTTTGCAGGCTCCCGATACAAACAACTTCGGTAACTACGTCAAACTTATTAGAAAATTCGCCCTAATATTAAAACAATGATATTCTTTGTATTTAGTTTTAATTAAAATAGAAAGACGGGAACTTGGAACAGAGCTCCGCGGAAATGGGTGCCTCGGAATGGTTCAAGTCACCGCAACGAGACCCGACTTTCTGAATTGGCTGGTGGCAGCCGCGACTAACGCAAACTTTTCCAATACAATCAAATGGGGTTTATTTTACTCATTGCATTCGAATGGCTGAATTACGAAGCGTCTTTCCTCAAAGTTCTTACTGCAATTTCTTGGTTGACCAACACTATATGTTGATCAAAATCTTGGCCGGCTTATCGGCATCGTACATCGGCGGGCGAGCGAGCGGCCAACCATGGGACTGCCAAGAACAAGATACGGATGTTCACGCAGGCAGGCGTATAATGGCGTCACTGGTGCTCCTGAAATGTACACGAAAAATTGTGTACACGAAAAATTGTTGGATGTTCAAAATAACGAAATTTTGGTATAAATCGCAAAAGCATTATGTTTTTTGTACAATTTGTAAAAGCACTAAATTATGTTATTTCGTCTTTATGATTTCTGACATTTAATTCAGTTTGTTTCATATTTCATTCGTTTAATTTCGTCTTAATTATTTTTCCCTGAAAAGAGAAAATTTCGCAGAATTATTAAGTTATTTTCCTGTGAAGAATGGTAAAGAAATATTGGCTATAGCTACGGACTGTTCGTGAACCGTTTCTCTAAAACGAA